GTTTCAGTGACATTTTGTTTTTATTTACGTTTGCCATTCTTGTTTGTTTTCACATACATTTGAAATTATTGCCACTTTATGACTCAATATGATAAGCATCTTCTAGTTATTTAAATGAAGCGATTTGCATTTTTTAGAGGTCTGAATTAAAGTCCACGATCCTGCCTTTCGGGAAAATGTTCGTGTTATTATAATAAAATTTACAACAGTAATCTAAAAATACAAGTCTGTTTGAAAATATGTTATTACCTGTAACCAATAATGATTCACAAAATATAAAAAAATGATCAAAGGATAATTCGCCAAAACTTCACTCACCCCTGAAGTACATCTCAACAAATCCAGATTTTTAAAAAATATATAAGATTTTATTATTTAAAGTAAAGCTAAAGAAGCGTGCTCCGCGTTTGTTCAAGTGAGTTTTTCCATTACAAAATTGATGTTGATGACGTCATCAATATTTTTACAAGGATACATATATCAATTTGGATAGATGCAGTGTACTAATAGTAACAGTACTGTATTCCCAAATTTTCGGGAAAATGGGGTGAGTCGTTCTTAATTTAATCAATACAATAAATTGCCTAATTTTAATTTGTTTGTGGCCCTGTAATTCTAAAAACTGTGATTGCATTGATAAACTACAAGTATAGAGTCATAATATTTTGTATATTTCAGAGAGGATTTATTCGGCAAAATTTTGAGATGTCATAAATTTTTTCGGAAAAGATAAAAGAAATATTTATTAGACAGGCACCACTTGGCTTGGTGTAACAGGCAATATTTTGGATGTACATATGTAGTCTAAATAAATAAAGATAAACGAATAAATTTTGATTAACAATTCAACATGCTTAATTGCCTACAATAACCTTACAACGTTTGTGTGATTTCAGAGCATTCGGTTTAGCAGTTTCAAGATGAAATTGCAAAATGTTGTTGTATAATTTTGATTCTTTTACCAAAAATATGAGTAAGTGCAGGCATATCCTATTTTATAAAATTAAAAACAAACTTTCTATTACTCTCGATTACTATATTTTCTTAGCTTACGATCAGGACGGCAATATGAAAACATTATGTATTGTGCAATACACAATGGATTATGTTAACCAATGGTAATTATTATCAATGTTAGTTATCATCTTTGTCGCCTGTATAAACAAGTAATAACTTTTTATAATTTTTTACTACCCAAGCTTAAACAAAGGTATTATAACCGAGTGCATCGGGCGACTGGTTGCTTTTATGTTTTTTTAACGTTCCATGACCTTGGAGTTGAAAAAAATAAGTGTCCCGTTTCCGTCTGTCTTCCTGCCTGCCTGACTGTCTGTCTCTCTGTCTGTCTACCGTCTTCCAGATTTTCATTAGACAGTTAGTCTCCGAAACTACCGCACCGATTGTTGTCAAATTTTATATATATGTTATTAATACATATTATGTAGATGGTACAACGCCAACCAAAATTTCCCTAATCATCCCTACCAATAATGTGATGACGTCTCTTCAAAATTTTTCATAGTAAATAGGACTTAAATTTTATAAAATAACATACTCCCGGACTTGTTCTTTATGAATGTGTCTTCAGATTTTCCTCGAGGCACCCAAATTTTTGCGAAAAATGGAAATTGTACAGCAACCTAATATAAACGGTGTTCCTTTAGCGTATCGTTTTTCTTGCTTCCTTGCGAGCATGTGACGTGAAAATAGCACGTGTTCGAATGTGGCATGGGTTTTTTTGTTTCTTATATTGTTCTTGCTATTATCTATATTTTTTGGGAAAATAGCCGGCGATGCTTAATTAATTAGTCTTTTCTTTTATGTTGAGGGGACAAAATCAATTAAATTTTAGCTTCTTTTAACACAAATGCACACTTTGATGCCGAAGTCGATACGATATAAACGTGCTCATGGTCGAATTCTTTAGAAGTAAAAACATAAACAGTCGAAGTTAAACAAATACTGAGAAATAAAAAATACTTTGTTCCCCGTTGGTTATCTGCTTTAAATATATTTCATACGCGGGTGTATTATTTACGCCACTGGAGTGAGGGCAGGCAGTTCTGTCGAAATAATCCTTACATCCTACATTTTCTTGATTCTATTTTCCTTTTTGTTACCAAATACCAAAAAAAAAATTGAAAAATCTGAAAAATTATGCAAACTAAGTAGCTCAAGAAATAAATACTTGATTGCGATTAAATTTTTAACACAGCATTAAATTACCACTCTACGCCAATCAGATGTCGCTAACTCACTAAAGAAATGCCTCGTTAAATGCGTGATTTCAGTAAAAATATTCTATAAACTGGCCCTATGTATTAAATCTGAGGTACTGGCAAATAACTAGCATTTTATTTTATAGCACTGTTATTATTTTCACCATAACTGAAAAAAAAAAATTAAGTACAGTTCAACAAGTTCTGCTTCTTCGAAAAATTGTAAAATTTGATTTTGCGATTTTTGTTTCATGATAACTTCTATAAAATAAAAACCTGAAGGAGAATATGGAATATATTTGAAGCAGATAACCAACGGTAAAAAGTGTATTATTATCAGCCTACATGCTTAACTTCCATTCTTTATGTTTATGTTTATACATCGAAAGAATGTCACGCTTATAATGTAGAAATTTATTAGAAACAAATTTCTGAATGAGTTTGTCTTCTTGAAACAGATAATTAAAACTATTAAATAAGCCACAATGGAACAGATACTCTGAGTATTATTATATATTTTTTTTGTCATTAAATAAAAGAGGTAGAAAGAGCTACATTTTCATCGTTTAGAGAAAATGAGGTGACTCGTTTTTAGTTCATCAATAAAAAGTTAGAAATTTAATTTTATAAAATTTATTGCGTCTATTATTTTATTTTCAATTTTTCGGACACTGTATTTGTTCGACTGAAGAAAGAAGTTTTGTGTAAGTACATTCATTGATGTATCATACTTGACTTTAGCCACGACATCCACCTTTGTTTTAGTCAACAGTACTCAAGTTTGCTTTAAAATGGTACCGTCATCCATTCTCTGCCACCGTTTGCGATGTTAGTAAATTCCACTTGTTCATGAGTCTATTTATTATAAATTTGGCGTACGATGTGTCAAGTCGCCGATAAGCAAATGACATTGTTAGAGACTCCTGTGGAGTTTTTTTTCTGCATTCGTTGATGTATCAAAGCAGTACTTTAGTTTTGTATATGACATCCAATGCACTGGTTGATAATTCGTACTAACAATAATAATGGAAAACTATTAATGCATTGTTAAGAGTACGGTAAAGTGCAATGTAATACTAATAGTGTTCCTATAACTGTATTGTATTCTCTCTCACATTATCGAGTGTTGCGTTTTTGTTTTGAAAGATTTTGCAACGCTGTGGGATCCGTACCCGGAACTTCCGTCTGCAAGACAAGGCTCTCCTTGAGACATCCATGAGGCCTGGCTTACAGAGCTGTGTACTAGGTAGCAAACAATAACAATAATAATAATAATAATATTAATAACCAAAAGAAGGGCGGATTCACAAAACACAACTGTGGGATATAATATTTTATGAAATTTAAGTTATGTTTAGTGTACAAAATTTTGAGGTGATGTCATCACGTTATTGGTGGGGATGATTAGAAAAATGTTGGTTAGCGTTTAACAAACTACATGATATTCCTAATATACATACAAAATTTGACAACAATTGGTCCAGTAGTTTAGGAGATTATCTATTTAATAAAAATTGGGACAAACGGCAAACAGACGACAGACGGAAAAGGGAGAGCCATAGCTACACTAGGGAAGTAAACATATAACATGATCAACTTAGAATATTTATGTTTATAATATATCGAAAGAATGAGACGATTAAGCACACAGCAAGATGGCTGATTTGAATAATTTTGAATATTATTTTTGGATGAGTATATCTGTTATTATGATAATTGTTATTTTATGACTATTTAATGTAGGCAAGTGCAGCATTAGTGTATTGTTAAATTTTCGAGAAAATGGAGTGAATCGTTCTTGATTTGAACAATAAAAAATGTGGCCCATGAGTCATCGAACCAGGACCTTCGCGTTAGTAATTCAACATTTTTACGGCACCGAATTTACTACATGTCAATACTCTGATAATAGTAATTTTGTAATTTTTATTTTTTTGCGAAAACCTGGATCCCTAAGAGAAAATTCAAGACGTAATCATAAACCACAAGCACAGGAATATGTTATTTTATAAAGATTCAATAAAGTTACTATGCACAATTATAAGGTGATGTTATCAAAATGTTGGTGGGGATGATTAGAGACATTTTGTTTAGCGTTGTACTATTTGCATGGTGTTCCTAAAATATATATACAATAAAAATCGGGCCAATAGCTTCGAAAATTATCTAACCGACGACAAACAGACAGACATAGGGAAACGGGAAACCTACTTTTTCGTACTGTAAGGGTCATGAAACGTCGAGAAAATATGCAGATAGCCCATTCTTCGATCGACCCCATTGCAATACTGGAATTTACTTACCGCTTTAAAAATAGGGCCAGTAAGCGTTACTTACCGCCCGATCGTGCGAAAATTACCATTTTTCTCTTATTCAGATAACTCGGTAACTGTTTAAACAAAATCTGGTTTACAGAAGCTCCCAAAACTTATTTATTATAACTAGTATTCAAGAAACTCAAAAACTCAAGACAATAGGGAAGAATAAAATTCAAGGTGTTTATTGTTCCTGGGCAACTGATTGTTCCATAATATTCATCTACAAATATGAAATTTGTTTTAAGTCTTGATTCCAATAAACAACACGTAATGTCCTAAAACTGAATGCTTCTTTATAAATTAAAGCACATATGTAATATGTAAAAATTTAAAATGTGAATTAAATATAGGTATATTAATTTCTTTTGAATACAATGTATAATATATGATAAGAATTACATTTTTTGTCTGCAGGTATGGATTCAGTTACACCTATAACTTAGAGCTATGTGAATGGAAGTACCTGTAAGATTGAAGGCTAGACTCATCTTCGGATCGGTATTGACCTGACATTCGTATCTTCCTGTATCAGATAAGAGAACACCTCTTATCCTGAGTCCCCAGAAATCTCCAGCTGGAGAGGGAACAGGTTCGAACCTGTTATCGCTGGAGAACGTAAAGCGACCCGACGTCAGGATATGCAAGTCTCTGCTTCTAATCCAAGACACCTGTAACACACGATTTCCTTTAAGGAATACACAATGCTTTTAAGGATTACATTTACATGCGCGAAATGTATGATTCTGAGGGATTTTTCTGATAAATGTCTGCTCTTTTTAAGAAACACGCTGGACGGATTTGTCGCAATACGAAGCGGAGATTGTGACAAGTGCATTCCAAAATTAGAACGTTCGTAATGAAATTTCTGGTGTAAGATGAAGTTAACAAAGTGTGATGAAAACTGGGCCAATTTTTAATTACGAGTTAATTGAAATTTAATTATTACTCAAGAGCGTAACTTCAATAAAGGATCCGATATGATTATATCGATTCTTCAGCTGAGTAAATTTCAACGTCTGTTATTAATTTTTCTCCTTGGATTAGGGGAACGAGGGGCTTGTTGTAACAGTTTTTAGGAAAACGAGTATAATTTGGTATCTATTTGCTGTTTGACCATTATAAAAGTATCTATCGGTAGTCTAACTATTCCTCTATTGGACTGAACAGGCAAAAGATCAAAATTATTCACCTTCACTTCACACCAGGCATTTTCTTAAAAAAAGTGCATTGTTACAACTTGCCCCGTGGTTGGGGCTAGTTGTAACAGCCATGAGACAGGTAGTACCAGTAAAACTAAAGCTGATGTTGATACATATTTAGACTTTATTTTTCAAAAATCAACACAACACTTCATTATATACAATTTTTCTTCAGTAAAACTGAAATAAACTTTTAGAAAAAGAGTCAACATTAGAAATTTGAGTGTTGTCTTCCTTTTTCTTAATATATCTGGAAAGCGATATATGGTATAGGTCAAAATTTTGGCTGGCTGTTCGTATGCTAGGTACGAGATTTGTAGAAGTGAATTTGGGATAAGTTGTAACATGTTACAACTTGCCCCAAAGCTATTGTTACAACATGCCCCGTAGCACAATTTTCTACATTTCATTACATTTCGACAAAATTATGTGGCTTAGCGTCAAAATGTGTAAGGAATATCAAAGCTGAGTAATTTTTGAGCTACATGCAAAACTAAAAGTTTTAAATTAATTAATAACTGATACGAAAAACCAAATTTTACTAAAGCAATATTTTACATTACTTGGCCAAAACGAAACACGTGCACACATCCACTCACTGCGCTGGCTCAAGGAACAGTGGTTGTGATGACATGATGTCTTATGGTGCAAGAATTAAATTCAGTAAAATACCTGACGTTAAAGAGTTTAAATTGTGGGTAAAAATTTAGTGTTACAACTTACCCCTGTTACAACAAGCCCCTAGTTCCCCTACTGCACCCATTGACCTCTTTTTAACCTTTACAATACTGCACCTTGAAATACTTGAGTACTGAACGGTAAAGTAAAATTTAGATACAAAGAACGCAGCTTAACGACAGTATGACTACTTGCAAGAAGACCACAATAATGATAAAAACTACAGGAATGTTTTGTAATGAGTTGCTGTTGTGAAACATAAAATCCTCTCTGAGAAGGCAGAAAGAAAAACTAAATTCAAATTACTCGGAAAAAGCTTATTACAATAGCCCCTTACAATGATTTCCATTCTGACTTCGTTCTTGAACTCGTATCGTTTTATCCCTTTACATTTAAAACTTATAACAAAGATATTTCTAAAGCTGAACCGAAAAGGATTTAATATTTTATTCTCTTAGTTCTGTGGCCATTTCAGCTTTGATAATTCAAGAGCAGACATAACCATTATTACGACAAAAGCAGAAATCTTTGCTTGAAATTGTGCTAAATGTGATGTTTTTAAATTTCCAACTTGGAGCTACTTTTGAGATGTTATCCTCGCCAGTCTGCTACAGGTGTAGCCCTTTTCATAAATCGTAAAATTTTATCTGCTGCAATTAATCGTTTCGTATCACCCGGTCTTGGCTCAGTTTACGTCTGTGGCTTTACAACGAGGTGTCAGTGTAACATTAAATTATAAATTACAACTTTGTGTTCGATTTAGTGAAAATTGGGTCTTGACGTAAGTGGAAAACAACTTCTCGGATCATAAAACTTACAACTTTATCGCCAAGATATCTGACGGTGCAAGGTAAAAGAAGCGTTTGACCCTCGGTGGCTTCGACTTCTCTTATCGTAAAATCATCGAAGACTGGCGACAAACCCAAATTGTGGTCTACAACACTTTTTGCAGTGCTAGACCAAGAGTATCCTGAAACAAGACGATTTATTCGTGAGCTTATTTAATGCCTACGGTTACTGACTGAGGGAGAAGGGATCGGTTTCACGGTTTAAATGTTTGGCACACTTCCAGCCATTGCATTATCTAACTCTATACACTATTAAAAAAAAATAAACAAATAAATAAAATATATAGAATACTGGAACGTTTTCAACACGATGTGGGATTTAACGAATTTAAGTATAATGAATGTGTGAAACACGCCAAAGTACAAATTTTAAATCCAGGCCATAAATTTATACTACGAATTTAATTCGGAATGGACGTAATCAATTAAACGCAGTTTAGTAGCAGCGTGTCAGTTAAAATTTAAGTGATGTTGCTAAACGACCAAACACAAACATACGATATTTTCCGCTTGTCAACTCTCATGTATTTTATTGAAATTTTAATTTTCGACGTGACACAACACTTATGAAAGGTAATTTATTTTTATCATAATTTATAAGTAAATATTAAAAACTATTTATATCACCCAAGTTAGAAATCCTCTTTCGAGGCGCTGCGTCCTAGTGTTAATCTGATTATTAATTATCGCAGTGATAACGCGAAATTAAGTAAATTCTGCATGTAATTTTCGCAATGCGGCTAATGCACAATTCCAATTTACATAGAAATCACCGGATTTAGTCCGGATTTGACCACAAGCACGAGTAATTATTATCAGGTAAGCAACTGCGGTTGAGCCAGTACAACCAACAAGAGAATAAGCGTTTAGTTTCGTAGAATTAAAACAAATCTGTAAAAGGATGCTGTAAACCAAACTGTTCTTGTTCATCGTATTTTATGGCAAAGTAATCGGACAATTCGAAAGGAGCTATTTGGGTTCACCGTAACAATACTTACCTGCAGATACATAAAATATATCATTTCCGGAAAAGAATTCTTATTGAAAGAAAAACGTTCGCGAATCTAGTAGCATTATAGAACACAGTTAGAACAGAATGGGAAATAATTTTATACAGCAGACAAATATAGAAATTCAAAATGACAATAAAAAATCATGCAGGAAAATATAAACATAAAAAATATACGTATTTCCATAGCCAAGTTTCGTTTTTGTTTTAAGTAGAAAAGAAGACAAATTGCGCGTGATGGATGATAGTGAAGAATAATACCGAAAGAGATAAATGGCAGACTCTAAACGTATACATGAAAAGGTATATGGCGTGAATAACATTGTAATAATATATAACATACTTAAGCCATAAGCTAAAAAAGTGGAAATATTCAGTAATAAGGCAGAACTTTAATCTATTGATGTAACTGTTTTTCCTACGTAGTAGTAAGGATTCAGATTTAACTAGATCGCACAAAATGCTGCAGAAAGCTTTTTAATTACTGTGAAGCTTTTTACATACATAATTATAAGTTATACAGGGTCATTATAAAATACTGTAGTCAACTTACCTATGAAAAACAACTGAAATTTTTGTCGTGCCGCTAATCAGCAAAATGATTTGAACTCTTATGAAATGTCACGAACGTCGAAACAAATCTATCAAATGTGTCAAAAATTGAAATGCCAGGTTTGTGGTTTAATTTCATTTTAAATAGACACGAAAATACGCCAGGGCAGAGCATTAGGGGGTTGCAGTGTTATCGAGCATTTGTGGACGCTACTGCAATAAATAGATACATTTCACCTTCAAAAGTTGTAAATTGTAAGAAAAGCGTTTAAGGGGTTTGTCATGAATTACACCTTGGAAAGTCGTTGGGAGTGAACAGAAAAAATCGTCTGGTCTGTTTTGCAAAGAAACAATAATTTTTCAAATAATAAAATCCAAAAAGTGAGGTTAAATTTGCAAGGTAAAAATTGTGAAAAATCACATAAAGGACAATGGCAGAACAAGTCTTATAACAGTTAAAGAACAGTACCACTGTTTTAAAATTACACTGAGTAGTTTTTGCGGTAAATAATTTTGCTAAAGTTGTGATCCCGCGAAAGTCCAGTTTGTAAATTGTAAGGAATCGTCAAAACATTGGTGCTTTTCTCTTGAAAAAATACAACTGAAAGCCTTGATCTTCGTCTCTACAATAAGTGAAAACTGCCATCTCCAGGCAATACCTTAAGCTTTGCGGTTTCTAGATATCTGAAACATGCCAGATCTGCATAACAGGAATGTCAAAGAAATTCTACTCAAAACACGCCCATATGGCCATCTTAATATCAAGATTTTTAAAAATTTCTATAATAAAAAAGATGAAAAAAACAATAAAATTTCAGGAGCATAGTGTTAAGAGTTCTGTAGATGATTACGAGACCTCTTGAAATAACAGAATGTTTAATAAAGATTTTTTAAACTTCCTAGTAATAAAGTTACTAGAATTATCACTAAACAGTAAGTTGAAGTAAGTTTTAAATTAAGAGAATGCAACTACCACAGAAAGAAAAATTAAAGTTACTGAAGATAAAAAAACTTTATTGCAGTACCTACATACACTTTTTACATCCAATTTTGTGTATTGACCACATTCATTTAGTTGAAAAAATATCGGGTCTATGAACTGTCGTCTGGAAACAGCTAACCCCACACCAACCTTCACTACGTGTAATGGTGTTTCTTCAAAAACGTAAGGATTTTCAATACTCCATATTCTGAAGTTCTGTGAGTTATCGTCCATATTAGCTTCAAACCAACGACAATACCGGACGCGGAGAGAAAAACAGCTGATTGCAGCTCCTGAACCAATGAAATCTTATATGGATGCATATGTAACTTCTCTTTTACGATTTTCTGACACGTGCTGTATGGTACACCAGACTGTAAAGAGTTTTGACAAAGATTTATTCGGACCTTGTTCCATTCTCGTTCTTAAATCTTCAACAATGTCTTCACTAACTTGAGGTCTCCCCGTCGGTTTTCACTTAGAAACGTTACCAGTGTCGTTAAATCTGGTCACAATTCGCCGTATATGCGTCTTCAAAGATTCTTACTCAATGACAACAAGATATTTCACCAGATACTCGTTTTTAGACGCATCTACAGAGTACACTCAATCCCCATCCTCATTTAACAACCCATTACAGTAATAGGACATGATGATTGCTCCAAAAAATAAACCATTCTAACCTAAAAAAGTCATTTGTAACACTGACCATAGTTACTCCTCTGTGTTCATTACCTGAGATTATTCCATAATCCACAATGATCTGAAGTTTTGTAAAAACTGTTTTTTGAGACACTTGGGGCCGGTTTTTCAATCGATGGTAGACTAAAGGCTTTGGTATGTCGCTATAGAAACCATTGTTACAATAATGAAAAAACCTCTAGTAAACTATTAGTTTTGAATTTACCATCCACTGAAAAACCGACCCTTAAAGTTCGAACAAAGGGGAAGACAACAAAAATGAAAACAAGACAAGTCAATTAACGCACAAAGTGTGGGAAAACGCACCAGTAATCAGTACAAACGAAAAAATTGTTGACATCCGACAGAATTTGATAAACCGTTGGCGCCGAAACAGTTCAGCCACTAATGTGGCGTTAAAAATAAAAATTCCAATATTAGTGTAATCCTTTCCACAAAACTGAAAAACGCGGCACACAATGTCATGGCCTTCCTTAAATACAATATTTTATAATGACCCTGTATAATAACTATAATAGTTATTCGTATGTATACTTATAACAAGTGCAGTAAACAATATCTTACAAGTGAGTCTGTACTTGTTGCACGAGATTTACCGAGTACTTGTAAGCACACAATGTCACTAATTCGCTCATATTATAAACAATATTTTTCGTAATGTTACTTCCTCCTAAAAAGTAATCTAATTACATACTATACAGTCTACATTCGCAAAAAATCGTACGATACAAAATTACATAATACATTCAAACATGTATGGTGTATTCAGTAGATATGAATTGAAAACATTAAATAAACAGGTGATATGTAATGAATTTATATCATACTGTGTCGATTTTGACTACTTTTCGTAAATGTCATTTCCCGGACTTGACCGGTAAAGTCGATTACCGGACAAAGCTGGTAAAATTGTCACAACGCAATAATAAAAATAAAAGAAAAATGTGGATTCATTTACTAAAAAATTGGTCTAAAGAGTTTAGACAGTACTTCCCTCGCCATCACAAGTACAAACTCATCATATTTTTTGCATTTTAGATAGGATTTATTCAGCAAAATTTAAGGGTGACGTCATCAATTTTTTTAGGAGGGATGAACAAATACATTTTGAACAAAAGTTTACCATGCTTATAATAACTTTAAAATATCTCCAAGATTTCAAAGCATTCGGTTTTGTAATTCCTGATTAAATCGATAAAATAAATTCACGCATTCATTAATTTTTTTGAGTCACCCTGTATATGCAAATCCAAAAATATGAATGGAATGATAAATCACAAGTACAGACTCATCATATTTTGTACATTTTAGATAGGATTTATTCAGCAAAATTTTGGGGTGACGTCATCAATTTTTTAGAGGGGATGAGCAAATACATTTTGATAAAAAATTTACCATGCTTATAATAACTTTAAAACATCTCCAAGATTTCAAAGCATTCGGTTCTGTAATTCCTGATTAAATCAATAAAATAAATTGACGCATTCATTAATTTTTTTCAGTCACTCTGTATATGCAAATCGAAAAAATATGAATGGAATGATAAATCACAAGTACAAACTCATCATATTTTTGCATTTTAGATAGGATTTATTCAGCAAAATTTAAGGGTGACGTCATCAATTTTTTTAGGAGGGATGAACAAATATATTTTGAACAAAAGTTTACCATGCTTATAATAACTTTAAAATATCTCCAAGATTTCAAAGCATTCGGTTTTGTAATTCCTGATTAAATCGATAAAATAAATTCACGCATTCATTAATTTTTTTGAGTCACCCTGTATAAGCAAATCCAAAAATATGAATGGAATGATAAATCACAAGTACAGACTCATCATATTTTTCACATTTTAGATAGGATTTATTCAGCAAAAT